TTTATTTTATTTTTTTAGCATGTTATAATGAACTGAACTGGGCAAGTACTAAGAGAAAAAAATTAAAACTACCTAAGAAAATTTTCTTTGTCCAAAACAAATCAGATTTTGTGCACCAATTAACTAAAATTTTTGTATCTTTTTAGAACTTTCATCTTGCTTTAGTAAAATAAGTATTAATGTTTAAGCCTTTCTTTTACTCTACTTATTCATTTTTATTGATTTTAGAGAGAAGAGGGAGAGAGAGAGGGAGGAAAGGAGAGAGAGAGAGACATCGATTTGTTGTTCTACGTAGTTATGTATTCACTGGTTGATTCTTGTATGTGCCCTGACTGGGGACTGAACCCCAACCTTGGAGTATCGAGATGATGCTCTAACCAACTGAGCTACCCAGCCAGGGCTCTTTTACTTTATTAGTTATAATCGACACTATGAAAATGGTGGCTTGTACTAAAATACTGAAGATAAGGGCATAAAACCTTATGATCCTGATTAGAAGACTCATTAACTCATAACTCAAGTTAAGTTTGATTTAGATAGGGCACTTAAAGCAGAAGTGGCCAAGCCTCTGCCTAAGCAGTGCAGGTGGCTATCTCTGGACAACGTTCCTAAGCACTTATGTCATCCTGTCAAAGAAAGTTGTATTCACGTACCTATTGACATGAGAGATGGCAGAAGTAAACCTTTGGAGAGGATCGGGTGGTATCTCATCTTTGACATACTCATGTTTTTCGTTTTAGAGAATCTCCGTCTCCAACTTGTTTTTGGTTGGAATAGCAGTCTCGTTTAGCAAATGTTTGTTGAATGAATAAATGATGAACAACATATGTTTGTCAGCTTAAATCCTCCTTAGGGCCATATTGTCAGATCCTCTAATTGATGGCTGGAAACAGAGCCTTCTGAAGGTTTAGTTAAATATCTCCTGGGTTGAGTAGGGAGCGGAGCCTGAACGGGCTGTTATGTCTCACGCCTCCACCTCCGCCACCTCCCTCACCTTCCACCGCCCATTGTCTCTTTTTCCTTTCCCTGGCTGTTGCATAGAGCTTTTCCAGCTGTGAGTTAACTGCCTTAACGCCTTCCATAAACAACTTTCCTTTGAGATTTAGTGGCCAAGAAATTATATTGACTAGATACGAACAAATTATCGGGGATTATAGAAAGACTTCTAGTCCATTTTCTTTTCTTCAGTTGGTTTCTTTTCTGATTTATCCTTAAATGTCATAACTTATTTGTGTTTTAATCTATAGGACATTCTGAGTTTTTCAGAGTAAGCAGGGAATTCAATATTTATTTATAGTAGCCCAGCAGACAAAAAAATATTGAATGTAAGTAATAGGAAATAATGTTCAGTGAACAGGTGGCCATGACTAGAAGAGGTGAAATATTTTCAAACATGACAGTAGAGATATATAAACCAATCACGAAGATGTATTTCCAATTTTATTGGTAATCACCTTAGATGACTGAGCCATATTTTAGACTCTGGAATCTCCTCTGACTTTTATTTTCTGTTTCCTAGTTCTTGCCTCTTTTGTATTCTCTCGTCACCGGCTTGGTCTTCCTGACAGCTTTAGCCCGCACCTCTGTCTGGAAGCCCGGCTTCCCTTGTTCACCAGCCGTATATAACCCCAGAAGCTGCTCACTGCGTTAGGAGGGCTTTAGCTACTCTTCTTTCTTCCACTTTGTCTTAATTTGTGACATTTATTTCATATCATAGTGAAACACCCAATTTCTTTCTTGCATAATTTTGTTCCATCACCTAGATCTTCATTGTCTTCAACCCATGTTTTTGCCCTTTTTGACTGTTATATAAATATTTTTACTTGGAGAATGTGCAGATACAGATAAATGTGTACAGAAATTTTATTTTGGCCATTCACCTTGGACTAGAGATGTGAAATCAAGCTGGTTGCAAATAGAGTATATTTTNCACCTTGGACTAGAGATGTGAAATCAAGCTGGTTGCAAATAGAGTATATTTTGCTCTGTTTTAGAACTCCTTAGGATTTTAAAAATATTCTTTCACTTTTCCATACTTCTCTTTATTGTAGATGTATGAGGCAGATACTGCCCAAGAGTGTTGTTACTAAGTTTCTAGATTATACAGAATCTATATTAACCTAACAACTAAGTCAGTTCTGCCATTAATGACACAATGTCCTCACTTCACCCAAATTTTCAGTGTCTCAAAATACCCTTACTTCCTAACTATTAAAAAGTACAGATTCCTAAGACTGAAATGTCGCTGTGCTACGGTTTACCCTCTGCCTTCAGAGAGCTGAATGTTAAGATAATGCTCTTTTGGTAAACAGCCTGAAGCATGGTGACGCTAAAACTGCTGGACTTCTCTTTTCCAGGGTCTGGTTAGCCCAGATCCTTAAGGCTTTTGTTCTGTCCAAGCAAACTCTTGTATTAAACTCTGAGACCATGGAACCGCTCCTTTGTTTCCCTCAAATAATTCATTAACATCCCTCTCCATTCCTCCCAAGTAATTTGCTAGCTGGTCCTAAGTGAAGTACTCCAAGCACTTTTGGGGAGCCAGGACAGGTCGATGCAGTGCGTATAGAAAGTGTAGTGTCTGAGGTGTAAAATAGGTTTTAGGAAGTTAGAAATAAAGGATGGTTACGGTTGTGTTGCAAGATTGGGTAAACAAATACCTGGGCTGTTGATGAGAACACATGCTGAATATGTGTCGCTGCAGGTTCCTTTAGGATGCAGCCAGGCATGTGTAATCAGGCAACTGTTGGGCTGAGTGTAGTGGGGGAGGGAGATTGTGAATTGTGGACCAAATAGAATTGCGAAGCATTCTTCTGATAATGGCCTTAGTATTGGGACGGAGGAGAAAGATGACAGTGCAATCTGGGGGGAAAAAAGCATCTTTGGAATCATTGTCATTGGAAGGAACATTTAAAATTCTCTGTAGGGAAAGGGGTAGAGAGAGGCCAGGGATAGAAGAGAATTGAGTTCCTAAGTTGGGATTGGTACAAGTACGGTGGTTCTTAATACCAAAACTTTAAATAATAACAGTGACAATATTAATGTTAAATAGCACCTATTGTTTATTGAGCTCTGCATGGTCTGCATATTTACCAACTCATTTGATTCTTACTACAGTCCAGTTGTAAGTCCAGCAGGTGAGGATACGAGCCTCAGTGAGTCGTCATTTCACGTAGCTGTGAGCAGCAGAGCCGGGTGTGAACTCAGGCCTGCCTCCGAAGCCCATGCTCTTAACTATTAAACTATGCTCTGCTAAATATGCCAGTGTTGCAGCTTTTGTCAGAATCGTTCCAGCAAGGTAGAGCGGATTTTTTCATGTGTTTTTTTAAAAATATGTCTTCATTGATTTCAGAGAGAGGAAGGAAGGGGAAGAGAGAGAAACACCTATGATGAGAGTCATTGATCCGCTGCCTCCTGTGTGCCCCCTACCGGGGGGGGGGG